AAAACACAATTTTTAAAAAAATTGTCTGTCTGTCTGTTTGTTCCGCATAATCTCTGAAACGGCTGGACCGATTTTGAAGTGAATTTCACTGAAAGATAGCTGATGTTATAAGGAGTAATATAGGCTACCTTTATTTTAGAAAAAAAATAGGGTTCCGCTCAAAAAAAATAAAACTTACCTAGGGACGAACCCGAGCGAAGCGCGAGTCACTATATAATATATAATCTATTTATTCCATACTAACCGTATTTTATAATAAATATGAAGAGAAGCAGTGTGGGTATATTATATATGCAAAAGACACCTAAGGGCGTACTCAAGCGACGCGAGGGTAAGCCACTAGTGTAATCAGTCCTTTTTAAAGTACCACTGCTGGGCACGGGCCTCCCTTCAATACGAGGGGGATCAGGCCATAGTCCACCACGCGGGCCAAGTGCGGGTTGTCGGACTTCACATATCTTTCGAAAACTTGCTAAGTTCTCTAAGACATGCAGGTTACCTCAGGATGTTTTCCTTCACCGTAAGGCAAGTGGTAATCATGCTAGAAATGATTCGCACATGAAAATATCAGAGATGGGAGATCCGGTATTTGAACCCACATCACTCGGTTTCTCAAGCGAGCGCGTTACCACTGGGCTACCACTGCCTTAAGCCACTAGTGTATTATACATTTAAAAAATCTCTATGTATAAAATATCTTAACATATACATATGTATGTCACTGATATATTCTCTCAAGTCTATGCAATCTGTTACAGTAATCGCCTCACCTTTCTAAATCGTCTAGTTTTTGTTCGAGCGAGGTACTTGAAAAATCACTATCGCTGATGTTAGCTATTCCTAACGATCTTCATCTTATTAATGCTTCCCATTTTTTGTATCGAGAATAGATTGAATCATTTAAGATTCCCAATACACGGTGACTTTCACTGTATTTTCTTTTCTTGTAAATAAAAATCTTATAATTATATATATATATATATATATACATATATATATATATATATATATATATATATATATATATATATATACAAAAAAAGGCAGTTAACCCAGTGGTTATGCGCGCTTGCGAAACCGATTGAAGCTAGTTCAAATCCCGGGTCGATTCATTTGCAACATGATTACCGCTCACACCCATTTTTTAGCTTGACACCTTTCTGGAACGTTGAAAATATCATTCCACGTGCAATAATTGAGCATACCATTTTTGTCATTCGAATATCAAGATTCTTTAAAGTACTAATCATCGATTAATGGGAAGACAGGTCTCATATTCTATACCTACGCTATATAATTGCCTTCAATTTAAATTATTTTTTAAATGTTTTATCGGCAACTTTTATCCCACTTTATTATTATTTTTTTAATACTTATTTGATTAGGAAATATAAAAGACAAGAGCTAGAATTGGCCACAAGAGCGAAAATCTGTGTCATGTCTAGTGGTTTTTGAATTTATTCGTTACAAACATACAAATCTTACCTCTTTATAATAGTAGTATAGATTGTAAATATAAAGTGCGAGCCCTCAAGTAAGCCACAAATACACACTTAAAAATGAAAAAAATTACCCCTAAATATATTTTTTTACTATGAATTTCCCGTAATATGTATACAGTATATATACAACAATAGTTTTAAATTCAAAAAATCAAATATAAACATAAGTATTTGAAAAGCTTTCGATTTAAACTGCCCCGGGTGAGATCGAGCGATATTATTTCAACTCACAACTATAAAAGCATTGGCATGTTACCAAATTTCGTATATTTTGCTATACCCTAACCTTTTATGGGTATTTTGTGTGTTAAATACTTTTTCTTCTTATAATACTTTCTTAGATTTACGCGAATATTTCGCAGATTTATTTTGATTTTTGGTTCCCATTATTACATTTTACATATAAAACAATAATATTGCTTAGATAAATAAATTCATATTTTTTAATTTTTAATATTATTTATGGTTATACATACGAGTAATATAATAATAGCAACACTAAATAATATTAGTAAATAATAAAGTTTTTAAAAATTGTTATATTTATAGTAATAACAGCTAAAATTAAATAAATAATATTGCTATATTTAATTATAATACTTATTAAATTAAAAAAAAATTGTTCAGAAATAAAAATCAACAAATATTGTAATGTACATTAGTGCCATATTTGAATTTTTGAAATCATTTTTGTAAAATAGTGGGTGGGTAGGTACTGTCTGTAAAAAGTATGTGTTTGAGACGTCTTAGTCTCTCCCGTGAACATGGTTGCTGTAAAGCATTCGAAACGTAAAATAATCCGAAAAGATAGTTTTATTTAAAACTATTTATTCTTATTTCGTCTAATACGTTCACGCAAATAAATTGTATATCTCCTTTAATTATATATCGAAATTTTCGATTTTTTGATGAGAGTTGTTTGTTTTGATAGCACATATCTCATTTTCTAGTGACTATCATTTATGGCTGTAGACCATAGGGTCCTGGAGTCATAAATTGGGCCAAAATAAATGACGTAGTACAGTCAAGAATTTCTTAGTAGTAATACATCAACTCTGTTGTCCAACCAAGAGCCCATCTCAGTCACGTTAGATTTTCATCCCATCAAATCATGAGAGGAAAAGGAGTGCACTCGTGTTTGTGCATACACTTGTTTGCTGTACTAGCTCTCACATTGCTTATCCCAGTAAGATTGGACATTATATAGAAAAAAATGGAAGATTTTATGTAACAATTGAATACTTCTAATTAGATTATCTTGTTAAAGAAAAAGCACAGCATTAGTAATTATTATAATTATTAATAAGGACAAAGCAAAAGCGAGTGAAGTGTCACTTTTTTCTGCCCACAAATTTGATAAGAATAAACTCGAACCATTAAAAAACTATACCTATATTATTAGCCAAAGTTATAGCTTTCAAGTTGTCCAAAAAGTCCAAGAATGTCTAAGAATTTAACTTTGACAGTATTGCTTTAAAGGTCCACTTTAAATTCCAGTCGCATAGTCCAGGAGGACTTAAATCTAATCGAGGACCACGTTCAAATATACAGTGAATCTTCAAGAAATATAAATTGCCTCTCCACAAATCGTCTTGGGATTATTTCAGTAAGAACCTGCACCAAAATCATATTTTAAATTACAACTGCAAACTGGAAATCGTCTTGCCTTATAATATTTCGTAACTTGTTCATATGAATCGAGATGCTCCAAATACATTTATGTATGGCTTTTATATATTTTTATGAAGTTATACTTTAAAAACAGAAACGAATTTTTTACTTTATTTTTTAACTATTATTCTTAATTGTATTATGGATCTGCATGACTAGAGCTTTCACTCTTTTTATTTTCTCTCTCAGTCTTACATTTATATGAATATAAATCAAAAGATGTCACAGAAAATAAAAATTTCAATTAAAAAACGGTAATAATTTCGACAACAAATTACTTTTTGTTCAAATTTTTGCTCTAAACTGGAATAGAACCTTTCAGACCTCATATATACCAAGGTCCTAAGTGAAGTTTGAAATATTTCTTACACAACCAAATTCTTAGTAGGTACCAGACGGTATAAAATAATATAGAATAAATCTTTCCCTAAAGTAAAAGTTTATGCAAAAGCGTGGAAACTTGTACACGTAGTTGCTTACTTGTTACTTGATTTAACTTAATATACACTGAGTTATGACGTAGTTTAGCTTAAAGTTAATTTTGAATTTCTTAAAAACTTCACAATCATCCTTTTTTTTTAAATATTGTATATTCTACGATTATCAATGAAGATACTATGAGGACAATAAAATAAAAAAAAAAATTTATTACCAACAAAAACAGTAATAAGTAACACAATTCTTAAATTAAACTTAGGTAGGTAGTAACCTTGCTGATGCTGCTAAGATCAAAATCTTGAAGTGCTGATATTCAATTACACTCAGCTCCCTAGGATGTTGAGCAGAAACAAGGCAAAGGGATGGAAGGAAGTTAATCGCTAAGGGAATTAAAAATAATAACAAGTAGTAATTTTTCTTATAATCACATCCATGACCAATCGAGTCATATTCCAAACAAATGTATACAATATGTTGCAGACAATAATTTATATAAGTAATTAATTAAAATGATTGATTGGCCTCATTCATACATAACCGTATGTTTATTGGAATAATAAATGAATTTATCTTCGTGAATAATTCACTTTATTGTTTCCTATACTTTAATAAAATAACCATATTATTTTCAGTGATCTAAATAATTTTAAGTAATACATATTATGTTATGAAATGCAAATTAAACTTATTTATAATATACATATAGTGAAATTCTGAATTAATTCTGTGCATTAAATAGTTTTTGGACAATCTTATTGAAATAGTCATTATTATTGATACAGAGGTCGAATCTATAGTTTTTAGATTTCTTTCTGTCTGTCTGGGAACACATCACGAGAATACCACTCGACAGGTTTTGATGAAATTTGGTACGATTATAGCTGGTTATCCGGGTTAACATAATATATTATACTATTTACTGCGGGTAGATATCTCATCTCTGAGAAATCTATACCAAGCATTAAAACAATACATTACACAATAAACTACTAAATATATTATATATTTTTTCACTTTCATTTGAATATTTCAAAATTTCTGCAGAATATTACGTTTTGAAAGGATATGATAAGGTACAATATATTTGTGAAACAAAAAAAGACCTTGTGTCGATATAAATTATTGATAGATTTTCTAAAAAAATTGAAGATAATTACCTAATTCAGGTGTATTTTTTCATATGATTTCAAAAAATACAATGAAGAAATCAATTATTACGAATCTATTTTCACGACCTTTCTTAAATTTTTTTTTAAAAGTGAAGTTTCAATAGAACATAATACTAGAGATCCTAACGATGACAATCTAGAAAAACCAAAGTGGCACGAAACTTTGAAAAATTGGATAACTTTGTTAATTTTCTAAAATATAACAACGCTTTAGAAATTATAAAGCCACGAGCGACATCTCGCTTCGGTAGCGTTTGAATTTCTTTATTATATCAGATACCGCAATATCTTGCGTGACCAAAAACTCGACAAAAGTTTTATTAGAACCATAAATTATAATGTTTGATTACAGTGTATTTGGTATAGTTTAATAATCAGTTCAAAGAAACAAAAAATATTTAATTATCATACTAAGAAAGAGTAAAATATCAACGTTTGGATTTGTATTCGAATAATATTTTCAATAGTAAGCGTACAGTAAATTATTTCATACATTAAAATCAGTCTAGCGAGTCTGGCCCGTGCAAGTAGATTAGTATGATGATTTCAAAAATTACGTTTCATACGGACGTATTCATAAACATTCGCATGATTGTCTGGTTATAACGAAATATGAAGAATTCATCCTAACAAAATATTACTAAAATTCATATATGTATTATGATCTAAAAAAAATTACAAGTCTGAAAACTTACAAAAAGTAGGTAGTACTTATTTTTGAAAATCATTGTATAATTTTGTGGGTAGGTGTTGTCTGTAACAACTATATAACCTTTGAGACATCTAAAACTTTAGTCTCTCCGGTGACCATGATTGCTATACAGCATTCGTAACGTCGGGAACCAAAAATCTAAATAAATCCGAAAATAAATCCAAAAATCAACTAATCCGAAAATCAACGAAAAAAGACATCCTTATTTACATAAAGAAATTACAATGAACCTACGTGTAAGTTCGGCCTTTTTAAACGTGGTCCGACCCGGGACTCGAATTCAAGACCTCCGGATCTGCAGCCGTACATGCTAGCTACTAGACCATCTAGACAGTCTTAATGCTTCTTAATTAAAAAAGCACAATTGCAAAATCACAAAAAAAATCACACACACAATTATGAGTGAAATTAATTGAAATAGATTTTGAAACTCACCCAAAGTCACTTAGATGTCACTTAGACATATTAGTTATGATATACAAAGCCATTTAAGGCGTCAACTTTCTAAGAAAACCATCCCCAACAACTTACCATACACTACCCTGTCAAAAGTAATTAAGGAACACTAATAATTGGGTGAAGGGTAGAGTTATGAGGATGTTTACAATTTTAAGGCAAGAGGAAGCTAATCTTGCCCTACTAATCTAATATATCCGTAATAAATCAACCACCCTTGATTAAATAATTAAAATGGATTTCGGTGTTTTGCAAAAACAATTTACTAGCCAAGAAATGACGTCTAATATTAAGTGGAGGGATACTGAGTTCACATTCCATGACGTGAATAGGTGTAGTTTTAATAAATCCACCTATGATACGTAAGGCAGAATTCTGTACACGGTCTAGTTTTAATAAGTGTGTCTTGGCCGCACTATCATATAAAAAGCTACCATAATCCATTCTGCTGCGAATCAATGCAAAATACAATCGACGTAAATGTTTCGGATGAACTCCCCATGAGCTTCCTGCTAATATTTTCAATAAATTTAATGTTTTCATAGTTTTTTCTTTAATTTCATTAATATGTTTATTCCAAAGTAATGATTTATCAATCCACATTCCTAAATATTTAAAGCAATCAACATTCTCAATATTACAATTATTAATTTTAAGGGGAACATGATCAATTTTTCTCCTTCGAGTAAAAGTACAACATTTAGTTTTCGCAGGTGAGACATCCAAACCGATTTGTTTCAATTTAATCACTACATTATTGAGACTAGTCTGTAACTCCGCGTTACCACTAATGAAGTTTTTATTTTGTATATAAAAAACAAAATCATCGGCATATTGCAAAATATTTACATTATTTATTCCTATGCATATCTGAGAAGTAACTATATTAAAAAGAAGAGGAGAAATTGGGTCTCCCTGAGCTAAGCCCCTATTAGTCCACCTAATTAGAGGTTGTCCACTATCACTAGTAATCTTAAGATATCTTCTACTCAAAAAGTGCCACAAATAACTACAAATTTTAACTCCAACATTTAGGTTATCTAAGATTAGAATAAGTTGCTCAACAGAAACATTATTATAGGCATTTTCGATATCTAGGAAACAAGCAAGTGTGGGGATATTTTTTGTCATTCCTATCTGTATATATGATACAAGTCGTACCAAACAGTCCACACATGATTGTCCCTTTCGAAAACCGATAGTTGATGATGATATCACCTTCTTCTGTTCTATAAAATACTCCAATCTTCTTTTCAACATTATATGATATATTTTACATATGCATGAAATTAGAGAAATAGGTCTCAACTTTGGAGAATTATTAGAATTGGTGTTATGTTTTGGTATAGGTACTATTTTAATACTACGCCACTGTTCGGGAACACGAGATTGACTAAATATTAGGTTATACATTCGAAGCAAAAATGATTTACCTTCATTGGGTAAGTTGTATATCATACTGTAAGTAATATTATCATCCCCTGGAGCAGTATCCTTTTTCTTGAGACAATTTTGTAATTCTTCTAATGAAAAATCCTGCTGCAATGCTTCATTGTCCGAATGAAGTGTAGGTTGCGGGTATTCTGCATAATCTGGGGTCAGAGAATGTAAAAGGTCTTTTTTCATACTTTCAGTTATTTGAGAATACTTCGGTTTTACTCCTTTCATCCAACACATTTTGTTCCACATAGTAGGAATGTCCGTAACTTCATCGATTTGTGTACAAAAACCTTGCCAATCATTAGTTCTAGCACGTCGAGTTAATCGTTGAGCATCTGCTATTTTTGATGTAAGTTTATCAAAATTGTTAGGGATAGGATTACGTCGAAATTTTTTTAAAGCCAAACGTCGTTCTGCTATAGCTCGAGACAATGAAGAATCCCAATATGTTTTTGGTTGAAATACCTGACTAGGATTAGTACATATTTTTTTAAAAGGTATACTTTGATCTCCGGCTTTGTTTTTTTCGTCTATAAAATAATCATACATTTCTTGAACGTTGTTATATTCAGTGGGGTAACCAAGACTATTTTTCAATAAATTTTGATATTCTTGCCAATTTGCAAATTTGTAATTTCGACATTTAGTAAACGTTACATTACTTTGAAATTCCAAGGTGAACTTAATGATTAAATGATCACTACCCAAATTTTCATTTGTAGTTTCCCACTTAAAATAAACTGCAATATCAGATGTGACGAAGGTGATATCTGGCGAAGATGTCTGTAAAATATTGTTAACAAATTTAATTCTTGTGTGATTCCCATTATTAAGTGATATAAAATTAAAGTCTAATAATGCATCGTAGATTTGAAACCCTCTCGTATTTTGTTTACATGACCAATTAGAATGGTGCCCGTTAAAGTCATCTGCTACTATGGATTTACATGAAAATTTAGAAAATAGTTGATCCCAGTCACATTGTGATTTGAACAGAAGGTGGACAGTATATTGATGTTATAAATTCTAAGTATTTACAATTAAAAATTTTTATTGACACAATTTCAATTCCCGGATTTCTTAATTCTACAGGATTACTACAACTTTTAATAGACTTATGAACTACAATAGCCACACCTCCATATGCATTACATCTATCACTTCTGTAGATAGTATAGTCTTTGAAATGTAAAGGTATATCAGGTTGCAACCACGTTTCACTCAGGATACAGATATGAATTTTTTCCCTATTTAGTAACAACTCGAAATCTTGTTTTTTCTGCCTTAAACTCTGCGCATTCCATTGACAAATGTTAATAGCATATTTCTTTAAATTACCGTTATCCATTGTATAATGCATTCAAAATTTTATTCATAAACTCTCCATCAGTAAAAGTCTTCTGAATAATGAGTTTTATCCATTCGAATAGAAATTTCACACTTAAGATGATTTTTTCTTCGACCGACTTACCAGATAATACAATATCTTTAAGTTTTGTTATTAGGGTTACAAAATTATTTTTATTTTTTGTTTCACTCCTACTTTTATTCTTATCCTCGCTGTTCTTTTCTATTTCTTGATTTTCACTTTCTTCGATATGATTTACTACATTTTGTTGTTTTTGTGTTTTCTTATTTTTGTTGTTTTTCTTCTTCTTTCTATATTGTGTATTATTTTCATTTGATTGAAAAGCATTCTCCTCCAGAGTGTCATAGGTTTTACTTTCTTCATTTACAAATAGATCTACTCCTCTTTCATGTTGTGTTATACATGTTTCACCTACTATACTTTCTTGGCTAGACAATACTTCTTCTAGCATATCATTTTTATTGGGTACTGATATTTCAGGATCGTTATTTTCATTGGCATATAATATAAGCGCTTTTTTATAAGTACAATTTTTCTTGCTCATGATGCTACGAATTTTCTTTTCTTTGAAAAAAATTGGACATCTCTTATAGAAAGAAGGAAGACACAATTTACTGAATAATACTATTTATCTATTTTACTGGTCTAGTGGCTAGCATATACTGCTGCAGATCGGTAGGTTCTGGGTTCTAGTCCCAGGTTGGGTACTCATTTGCTTAGTTCTCCATAATGGTCGTTTCTGTTTCTCGGAGAACATAATATAAAGCTGTCCTCTTGCGTCTCATCTTTTACCTGTCGCGTTGAATTGCTCCCACTGGAGTATGAAAGTGAAAGGAATAGAGTGTACTTGTGTTTGTACTTCTAGGCCACCATGACCGAAATTGGTCAGGAGAAAATTATTATTATTTATTGTTTTTAATTCTCGGTTCGTGCGTATGAAAACCAAAAGATAAAACCTAACCTATAAACATAATTTCACATTCACTATAGATTTTCCAGCTGTGAAAGGTGGGTGAAAGGTGTGTCGATAAAAAGTAGCCGATGTGTTAATTTAGGCTATTAATTAATCTATCTTTCCATTAGTACGTCGTTAGAGTTCTACTGAAGTAAAATAAAGATTTATCGCATGCTAACAGTCTTCTGCCAAATTATGGAAGCCCATGACAAGTTTTTTCAGTTCAGTATCTTTTTTTCCTCTGTTTGTCAACCTTTGAGGAGTTTTAGTGTTATTTATTAAAAAAAATGGGAAATAGTTTTGTTTTTTTGTATATATATACAGGTTAATTCTATTTACATATATATGTTTTCCTCAAATTTTTATATATATTCTTTATTGCACATAAAGAACAAAAATTACAAATATTAAGAGAAAATTGAAGGCGAAGGTTGACTTATCTCTAAAAGAGATCTCTTCCAGTCAACTTAGGAGGTGAGAAAGATTATCATTTATCAGAGCAGAAAAGTGCATGGTAATATGGAAATGAAGTACAAAAAAAGCACATTTTTAATAATTATTACGGTCGAATTTCGACCACTGGGTAAACATTAGTAAATCTTCGAACTTTATCTCAAATTTAATTAAAACCTAATGATATGTAACAGCCTGAAATATGTATAAAACAGTATCATACTAACTCAAAGATCCACAAACATTTATATATACATAAGTACAGTAGGTACATATATATAAAAATTAGGTTTTCCCAACATGTACACATCTGATTCATTACCAAGTCCTCCCCCTCTTGATAAATACAGTCATAAATTATCCCATTGGTTTTTGAATTAAAATCACTTTGAATTTCATGTGAATGGAGGCAAGTCTACCAGGAATTAATGTTATATTACACTCGCTATCGAATATATTAAGGCAGTGGTAGTCCAGTGGTAACGCGCTTGCTTGGGAAACCGAGGGAAGCGGGTTCAAATCCCGGGTCTCGCACCTCTGATATTTTTATGTGCGAATCATTTCCAACATGATTACCACTTGTCTTAACAGTAAAGGAAAACATCGTGAGAAAACCTGCATGTCTGAGAGAACCCAGCAAGTCTTCAAAAGTCATGTGAAGTCCGCCAACCCCTACTCGGCCAGCGTGGTACGATACTTACGAGTATAATCCCATAAACCTAGTTTTATGAGGATGGATGTATGGTTGGATATAAGCAAAAAATACAGAACGGATTTTGATGAAACTTTTCAGTACTATAGCTTAAACATAAAAGCAAAACGGTATAATATATTTTAAATATATAGTAATACATAAAAGAAATAAGCTAGAGAAGATGCGGTAAAATGTTAATATTTAATATAAAAGTTATAAAATTCTAGGTACGAAATCTTAATTAAGTCTAAACCTAAAACTGCGGATAAGGCCTAAGCGCTTACTGTCCTGATAAAATCGCAAAATTATTTTGGGCTCTAAAAAAGTTTTTACTACTTTGAGAAACCTGGCATTATTAGATTTCATATCATGGTTCATAAAGCGTTCAAGGTTGGCAGTTGGCGCCACATGTCACGTTCTCGCTTTTGCTGTCTCATTGAACATGTAGTTTGGATTGATGTTACGTTATCTAAACTACACAATATAACGACTTCTGTTGAATAAAATATGTTGTTTTATTTTAAATAAAACCATCTTTTCGGATTATTTCGCAGTTTTATTTTGAGTTTTGGTTCCCGACGTTTCGAATGCTTTACAGCATCCATGGTCACGGGAGAGACTGAGGTGCTACATGTCTTGAAGGTATAGTTGTTACAGACAGCCTACCCTCAATTAAAAAAATGAAAATTGCACCAATTACCTTACAATATTTTTTAACTTTAAACATTTTTATAATTTTAAATAGTTTTATAATTGAATATGGAATATTATTTATTTAATTTTTGCTGTTATTCTTGTAATTATTACAATTTTAAAAATATTAATTAGTAATCTATATTTAGTGTTGCCATTATCATATTTATAACCATAAAGAAAAATATAAAATATAGTATTAACTATTTAAGCCATATAATTGTTATATGTGTAATATAAAAATTTAAAATTAATTAAGGATAATAATTTTAATTTAGTTATTATTTAAAAAGACAAATTACTAAGCAACACTATTACTATATATTTTTACAAATGAAAAATGAAAAATATTTATCTGTTATGCTGTCATTTTGATGTACACAGTAAGAACTTATACCTTATTATTTACTTAAAATAAATCCGCGAAATGATCCGAAAAGATAGTTTTATTTAAAATGTCAAATATTTGCGTAAATCTAAGAAAGTATTATGTTGTTTTAATTAAAATATTGTTGAAAATTATTCTTTGTGGTTTTAAAACAAATATTTAATTTTATCATTTTGAAAATAAATGAGAAAATCTGTGTTTGTTAGTTGTTTTCTGAGTCTTTGTAATGAGCAGATAAAATGTAATGTAGTGGAAATGAAACATGGGTCCTTAATTAACGCGTAACCTATTAACATTTTCTTGTAGGGTAACTTGGTGTCATTTTTGTATTTATTTAATACTAGCATTGCCCGCGGCTCCGCCCGCGTTCAGATGACCAAAAAGCATATTCTTAGGTTTTACATATTAGTATACTCTTACAATGCAGTTTTTGTATTTTTTCTCAGAAATGAGATATTTTCCCGCGGTAAAAAGTACCCTATATGTTGACCCGGATAACCAGCTATCTTCATACAAAATTTCATCAAAATTTGTCCAGTGGTTTTCTCGTGATGCGGTAACAGACAGAAAGACAGATTGACAGACAGACACACAGAAATTCTAAAAACTATAGATTCGGCCTCTGTATCGATAATAATGTCTATTTCAATAAGATTTTCCAAAAAATATTTAATGTACAGATTCGGCTTAGATACAATTTTATTATATGTATAGACTATTCTATAATTTTGTGGGAAGATACTGTCTGTAACCGTCCTATAACTTTTGAAACTTCTAAAATCTTAGTCACTCACGTGAAAATTCGTCAAGTGTGAGTCGAATTCGCACACGAAAGGTTCCTTACCAGCGTACAAGTACTTTTTATTAATATTACTTTTACTCTATGTATGTAGTATATTAGCTTCAATGATCCATTACGAACGTTAAAAAATATTTCTTTTATTTTTATTATTTGTTGTTATAGCGGCAATAGAAATACATACTCTGTGCTTCAATTCTCTACCTATTACGGTTCATGAGATACAGCCCACTGACAGACGGACGAACGGACAGCGAAGGCTTAGTAATAGGGTTCCGTTTGCACCCTTCGGGTACGGAACCCTAAAAATGAAATATTTAACATGTAAAACAACAATTTGTTGAAATTTTAAATGTGAACTTTTACTGAGACTATTCTATACAAATGTGTTTCAGAGTTTCTATTTCAATGCAACGTCAGGAAGTTGAGATACGAGACTGAATAGCCGGTACAGACAGAGATATGGGGTGTTAAATAATGTCAGCGAAAAAACTGACAGAACTCGTTATTACGTTTACGTTGGTACTTTTAAAAAAAAAGTATATACAGTGAGAACGTTGAATTATACAAGAACTAGCAGAACCCGCGGTTTCGCTCGCACTAAAACTACAAAAAAATCTTTAAAAAGGCAGTTTTATACAAATTTTCATCCCCCAATTAACTCCCTTATAGGATGAATTTTAAAAAATGATAAAACACGTATTTATTTAATTTTATTAAAGACCACTAGTACCTACCAAATTTCAAGTAATTTCTAATCATAAATATTTTTTTTGGATTGTGTCATAACGTATTTTCCCGTGGGAATGAGATAATCGCCCTCGATAAAATGTAGCTTATGTCACTCTCCAGCCCTCCAACTATCTTCACACAAAAAATCACGCCAATCCCTTGCACCGTTTCGACGTGAAAGAAGGACAAACAAATAAACAAACACACTTTCACATTTATAATATTAAGTATGGAAGTATGGATAATATCTGTGAAGCAGATTTTATGTAATGCATTTTTTAATAATAATAATTAATAATTTAAAAAAAATAGCCTATAACCTTCCTCAATAAATGGGCTATCTAATGCAAAAAGAATTTTTCAAATCGAATTAGTGGTTCCTAAGATTATTCCAGCGGCCTTCAAAAATAATGAGATAAATAATATTATTATGTATGTGCATATAACATATATATATTATCTTAGGCTCTGGAAATATAAGCATTGCCAAAAGTCAAATACATATATTGCAAAGCCCTAAACTTAAAAATGCTGATTGTAAATTGTTATATTTATTACAAAAACATTTCGTCTTCGCCCATCTTGTAATTGTCAAAACATAAACGAGCGAGGGTGAGTCACTAGTAACGTATAAAATTCTATAAGAAAAATCTGCTTTATAAGAAGATTGGTGAAATGAACCCTTCAAACTCATGAGTGCCAGCAAGAATCATTCTACTCCACAGATATCATCTTACTGATGAATGGCATTATTATACTGTAAAAGATTTTAAGTACATATAATGTTGATAATAACGTTCACGTATTCACGTCATATATCGAATGTCCAA